CATTACTCTGTCTTCCAGGCCACTAATTTATTCTTCTACTTCCTCTAGCCTGCTATTTATTCCATCTAGTTGTATTTTTAATTTCATTTGTTGTGTTCTTTTTCTCTGACTGGTTCTTTTTCATCTCTTCGTTAAGGATCTCACTGATGTCTTCCACTCTTTACTCAAATCCAGTGCATGTCTTTATCATCATTACTTTAAATTCTTTATCAGGCATATTACTTCTGTTTCCCTTAGAAATCTCCTACTGTGATTCTGTCCTGTTCTTTCATTTGGGACATTTTGTCTAACTTTCTGCGTCTGTTTCTTCATGTCAGGAAAGTCAGCTATGTCTTCTGCTCTTGAAAAGTAAAGCCCGTATGAATCAGAGGTCCTACAGTACCCTGCAGTGCAGTGTCCCCTGCTCTCCAAGCATTTCAGGGGTGAGGGTTCTCCTATGTGTGTTGTGTGTGCCCTGCTATTGTCTCCTGGTCACTTTTTCTTTTAGTCCAGTTGTTTGCAGAGGTTCTCTTTGCCTGCTGTGGGCAGTGTTTGGTCCCTGGCTGGGGTGCACAATTTTAACACCTTGGGCTTCCACAGGGCCTGCTGCCAATGGGTCTGCTGCCAACCCAGCCTTGCAAAATGCCTGGGTCAGGTGACAGTGTTGGTAAGGTTTGTACAGGTCTTCTGGGGGAGGGGATCTGCAGTATTGGGGACTGAGGCAAATGTGACTCAGAAGGGCAGATCCCCCAAAGCACGAGGGGTTGAGCAGGGCTTGGTGTTACCAAGTTAAGCAGTGAATGTCAGTACTTGGCTAGTTCACACAGGTGGTCATGTGTTTATGCTGGGGGTGGAGGAGGCAGATGGTGCCTGCCATCTCCTTTGTTCCTGTAGAAATCCCTCAGCAGTCCCTGCCCCTCTGGACATGCTCCAAAATAAGTAAACTGCTCTCCCTTACATATGTCCCAGCTGTTTTTCAAACTGCTGCTTCTTTACTGTATCTCCGTGGGTTGTCATGCTGTCTCTTTAAGGGCAGGGATTCAACTTCCTCTCATCCTTCAGACTCTCCCAAATCCAAGCTCACTGACTTTTAAAATTCTAGGCTTTAAGTCCCCCTGTTGTAAGAACTCATGAAATTCAGCCCCTCTTGCTTTCAAAGCCAAATGTTATGGGGATTCACCTTCCCCACGCAGGTGTCCCAGTATGATAGTCTGTTTCTCTCCTTCTCTGTTCCTGGGGCTCCCTCCCCTCCACAGATGGCTGCAGTCTGTTTCGTTCCCAGCCACATCTCCACCCTTCCTACCCTCTTCAATGTGGCTTCCTCTCTACCTTTAGTTATGGAGTTTGTTCTGCCTATCTTCAGGTCATTTTCTGGGTTATTTACACTGATGGGAGTATTTTCTAGTTGTATCTGTAGGAGGAGCTGAGTTTAGGGTCCTCTTGCTCCGCCACCTTCCCAGCTTCCAAAACCTTCACATTTTTGATAAGAAAAGCACTGGAGAGTGGTGGACCTGCCAATGTCATTCAGCTAATTAATACTGAAGGCAAACAAAGTCCCCTATCCATATCTTTTTAAGTTATCTTGATTTGAACAAGTGACTTCCTAGAGTTCCATTACTAAACTAAAGATAGGTGATGAGCTCTTCCAAAATAAATATGATTCCTAGGTTTAATATGGCAACATAACATAGGAGCAATGTCCACAACAGCCAAACTGTGGAAGGAGCTGAGATGCCCTTCAACAGATGAATGGATAAAAAAGATGTGGTACATATATACAATGGAATACTATTCAGCCATCAGAAACGATGACTACCCACCATTTCCATAGACATGGATGGAACTGGAGGAGGTTTTGCTAAGTGAAGTAAGTCAAGCAGAGAAAGACAATTATCATATGGTTTCATTTATATGTGGAACATAAGCAATAGCACGGAAGACCACAGGGGAAGGGAAGGAAATCCGAAAGGGGAGAAATCAGAGAGGGAGATGACCCATGAGAGACTCTGGACTCCAGAAACAAACTGAAGGTTTCAGAGGGAAGATGGGCGGGGACAGGGGTAAGAGGGTGATGGGTATTAAGGAGGGCATGTGCTGTGATGAGCACTGGGTGTTATACGTAACTGATGAATCACTGAACACTACATCAAAAACTAATGATGTACTATACAGTGGCTAACTGAACATAATTTAAAAAAAAAAAAACAAAAAAAATTAACATAGCAAATATAGAGAAGTCCAAAGCATCTTTTGCTGAAAAGTAATGTTTTCACTTTTCTTCTGTTTTCTTTCTTTAGGATTCTCTTAGATATTTCTAAGATCTTTCTAAAAGTTATTTGCAAGGTAAGATATTTTTCAGGACAATTGGGCCAGTCTCTTCAATAAGTCAGTATAGCAGCAACAAAAAAGAATGGTTACATGAAAAGAGACTTAAGAGATGCAACTAGATGTAATGTACAAAGGCACAGGATATTTTTGAAACTAGGGAAATCAGAAGATGGACTACATATTAGAAGACATTAAGGATTTAATATTAGTTGGTTAAGATTAATATTTCAGCTGTAAGCAGTTCTTATTTTTTAAAGAAACATATTAAGACTAACAGAACACTATTAAAACTTCCCAGCATAAAAAGCTTTACCTTTTCATTCCTTATTAATCATATATCAATATAAAGTGACTTCTTTTCATAATTTTTTGTCTTAAACTTATTTTTCTATTGCAACCCCAGCTTTTTTGATGAGAATAATTTCATTCTGCCTCACCCAACCTTTTATGTTCAGCATTATTGTACCATTTTACTTGATCTAAATTTCTTTTATATACAAAGAAAATTAATGGATTTTGCATTAAATCCTCAATGAAACTAAGGGAGATAAGACCATTTTCATTTACTGCTATATTTATTACATTTGATCTAATTTCTGTCACCTTAGTTCTGTTGTTTTTAGATATCCTTGGTATTTTTCTATTTCTTATGTCTTTTTTAAATTTTATCTTTTGCAAGATACATTATTCTAACTTAATAGTTATCTTAAAGCATTTCATAAACATTTTATAATTTATGTAAGTATATCAAAATAATTTTAAAAATAATTTTAATATCCATTTGCAGAAGATTAAAACTTCAATACGACTTCTTCAGGATACTCATTTCCTTCCTCAAACCTGTATTTTACTGAATGTAAACATTTTCAAGAATTTAATAGTAATTTAAAATTTTAAAAACTAAAAACTTTCAATTTCAAGAAAATAAGAATGTATAAATTCAAAAAGTCCAACATTCAAATGATATATAATTACGTAAGATGCAATAAATTTTCTCCCATTACTAAGTTTATCTCATCTAGCCTACCTAAAAATGGTCTTTCCTTTTTTTTTTTTTTTTAAAGATTTTATTTATTTATTTGACAGAGAAGAAGAGAGAGAGAGAGCATGCACACAAGCAGGGGAAGCAGCAAGCAGAAGGAGAAGCAGGCTCCTCACCAAGCAGGGTCCTGGGATCATGACCTGAGCCAAAAACAGACGCTTAACTGACTGAGCCACCCAGATGCCCCCAAAATGGTTTTCATTTCATTCTTCATTCATTTTAATCTTTACCTCCTAATTTTTTTTTCTAAACATTTTATTTATTTGAGAGAGAGAGAGAGAAGCATGAGCCAGGGGGAAGGGCAGAGGGAGAGGGAGAAGTAGACTCCCTCCTGAGCAGGGAGCCCAATGCGGGGCTTGATCCCAGGACCCTGAGATGATGATCTGAGCTGAAGGCAGATGCTTAACTGACTGAGCCACCCAGGCGCCCCCTTTACCTCCTAATTCTTGAGTTATTTTTAAATCTCTCCCTCAAGTATTTGGAATGCATTATTTAAAAAAAATGCAATTTTACAAAGATAACTGGATGGAAGGTCTGAAAACTTACCTTGGTATATGAATAAAAATTTGTTTAGATATAAAATATGAGGGCATAACCTTTTTCTGAAGTGCACTAGACACAATTCTTGTGCTCTGTAATATCCTAATGCTGTTTTTCTTCTCCCTGCAAACTAGCTAGGTTTTTATCTTTAGTTTTGAAATACAAACATTAGGTCTTATTATTTTCCTTTTTAATTTTATATTTGGTAGGCCCTCAATTTGCAATATTCATTCATTCATTTTTCAGATTTTTAAGTTTTCTTCATACTCTTAAAACATAACATCTGACTGGCCTTATTATTTATTCATGAATTGGATCTCTGTGATCTGACCTCAGTGGCTCAGAGTTCAGTATATTATATCCTTTATATTCTAAGTGCTATTAATATTTTATATTACTAAAAGCTTTGCTATACCAAAATATGCCTTTGACTTCCAACAAAGATTTTCCTTGGCCTGCTGTCATTTTTATGCCATTATGTTGTTATCCTTGCCTTTTAGATTTTATGAACTAACTTATAATTACACTCAAGAGTGTACAAATTGTTTTTATATGAGACTAACACTTGAAATTGTAACAATTATAAAATTACAAAGATCCAAACATGACTCTGAGGGATCACTCAATATCATCCATGGGAAGAAACATTTTCTTGGACTACTGTTCACTCTGACAGTCTTACTGACAGAAACTTAACCCTAAAATCCAGTTTAATTTCTGCTCTCAGAGAGAAAAAAATACTGCTCTCAACTCACCAGTTCATTTCTTTAACATATATGAAGAAAGACATTTACCCTTCATCAAATAACATGAACGATAAGTTGGTGAATTTCAGAACCTCCAAATAAAGGCCACTGAAAATGGATTGATGAAGATTTTCTTTACACTTTGAATACTTAATATTTAGACAAAACTTTCTTAATATTTAGACTGAAGTAGATCACATACTTTTAGAGTGCATATAATCTAAATATAATACAAGAGTGCAACTTTGAGAGCCAAAAATAAAGTCAAATTTCAATTCTGGCCAGACTTTTATAAAAAACAAACAAACACGTATATTGTGTAGTTTGAAAAGCCTCTACTTTATGTACTATACTATAATACTTACAAGCTGATGTTCTAATAGTTGAATTTTTTCATCTTTTTTCTTTATTTCCTCTTTAAGCTGTTTTATCTCATTTAATAAATCTTCATTCTGAAATATTTAAAAAATTATCAATCATTAAATCAATGATAAAGACTGAAGAATGAATGGTTTTTGTTAAGGGGAAATTAAAGGGAGAACTCTTCTTAAATATGCCAGCTATTAACCTATACACAAACAAAACAAGCAAAAACCCATTTTGGTCTTCTAAGAATTCATAGTGTAGGGGTGCCTGGGTGGCTCAGTTGGTTAAGCGACTGACTTCAGCTCAGGTCATCTTAGGATCCTGGAATTGAGCCCCACATGGGGCTCCATGCTCAGTGAGAAGTCTGCTTGTCCCTCCTCCTCTGCCCCTCACCCCGTTCATGCTCTCTGTTTCTATCTCAAATAAATAAATATTTACTTTTTAAAGATTTTATTTATTTATTTGACAGAGAAAGACACAGTGAGAGAGGGAACACAAGGAGGGGTAGGGGAAGAGGGAGAAGCAGGGAGCCCGACGCAGGGCTTGATCCCAGGACCCTGGGATCATGACCTGAGCCTAAGGTAGATGCTTAATGACTGAGCCACCCAGGTGCCCCATAAATAAAATCTTTGAAAAAAAGAATTCATCTTGTAATGGAGACCAACATGTGAAAAATGAACAATAATAGCAACACAGCTAACATTAAGTACTTTTTAGGTGCTAAGAACGAAGTACTTTTAGATATCTAAGCATTTGATCCTGAGTATGACCCTGAGAACCTGAGGTAGATACTATTATCCCCCTTTGCAGATAAGGAAACAGGGACAGAGGCCCATAGTAAAATAAATTACATATAAAACAGAAACTTCAGGTAGATTTAAAGAGATGTATGAGAGTTGCCTACCAAGAACAATGCTGTGCACAACTAACAGAAGAACAGCATAATTAAAGGCACAGAGTCATTTCACAGCTGGTTCAGAAATCAGCAGAAAGATAAATATGCATGGCAGGGTAACAGGGAGATTCTTTTTTCCATGAGCCACTTTCCTGAGAACTGCCTGTCAATTTAGTCTATAAGAAATTCCTAATAGTATTAAATGGAAACCTACTGTCAAGCTTCTTAAGCAGGAATCCAGTTACATTTCGAAGTGTAAAGTATCATTACCTTATAGTTAGTCCACCGTGTTTACTACTATTCAATTATCCAGAAATATATACTGAGGAAACAGTACAAGCAAGGAAATAAGAATATATATATGTGAATGATATATCTTTCTAGAGAGAAAAATATGTAAGCAAATAATTATAATATGTTGTTACTGAGCAAAGTATGGCATCTCTTGCAGATACATTGGGAACAAACACAAAATACTGCAGTCGCTTTAACAAGAGATCAGTAACAGACATTTTACAAAGGCTTTAACAATACATATAAGCATCACAAAAATGGGGAAGAAAAGATTTTTTTTTTAATTTTTTTATTGTTATGTTAATCACCATATATTACATCATTAGTTTTTGATGCAGTGTTCCATGATTCATTGTTTGTTCATAACACCCAGTGCACCATGCAAAACGTGCCCTCCTCAATACCCATCACCAGGCTAACCCATCCCCCCACCCCCCTACCCTCTAGAACCCTCAGTTTTTCAGAGTCCATCATCTCTCATGGTTCGTCTCCCCCTCTGACATACTCCCCTTTTCTTCCTCTCCTGTTATCTTGGGGAAGAAAAGATTTTTGTAATGCTGTTATGTATACTGCAATTGGACAAGACTGTTTATTATATATAAAAAATGATTTCCAGTTGAATTTAAAGAATTTAATTTTTTTAATCACAAATCAAGACCAACCAAAGAGAGAATCGGATTGCAGATCGTGAAGGATATACTTTTAAGCTATGTGGCAAATGAAGCTATTAAGAAATGATAAGTATATTTGACTATATAAAATTTTAAAGCATCTATACAGTTATCATTGAAGTTAAAAGCTGGTGAAAACCTATCCAATTATGACAAAGGATTTATACTCAAGTATATTAAGAGCCTGTTCAAACATACAGATCATTTTTTAGGCCCCAAGACAAATAAACCAGTTCTCACAAATACAGATAACTGGTAAAATGTTCTATATGACTCATTGAAGAAATATAAATTCAAGTATTAAGGTATTATTTTATAGGTATTAAGTTGGGGGGAGAAATAGTCAATGTGATTAACAAAATTGCAGGAAAAAATGATACATTATCAGACATCAAAACTGGCCTTTCTGGACAAACACATGGCTGTACATAGAAGAGTCATAAAAATGCTTGCACTCTGCTTCAGCTGTCCCACTCCTGGAAACTATGCCAAAGAAACAATGTGACTTCCCTCTCATGCTCTCTCTCTCTCTCTCATTCTCTCTCTCTCAAATAAATAAATAAAATCTTTAAAAAAGAAAAAAAGAAACAATGTTGAGTTTTAGATATACTATTAGAGGTACCTGTGGGAGGGACACAGTGGAAATGTCCAGTAGGCCAGTGGATCACCAAGTATGAAAGAGATAAATTTATAATTGTTCAAAAAGGGGGCAACTGAAATAAAATGTAGCAATTTGATGAAATACTATGTAGCCATCTTTCAGTCACTGCTAGGTCCTGCCAGTGTTGGAAGAAACGGACCTGAAAATGAAATCCAAATACGATGCGATAATGTATTAATGACCATGTACATAGTACTTAACTTTATGACAGGCACTGCTCTAAGAATTTTACACATAAAGATGGGCAAAAACATATCAGGAAATGGGTAACTCCAGTGAAGTTTTAAAGGAGAAGTAAAAAGTTCTGAAGACACCGAAGTATGTCAGGCTTTGGATTTTAGAGTAAGAGAGTCTCAGTATCATACAATACAGAGATGAAGGCAAGCATAGCATATTTGGAGAATTACAAGCAGTGATGTTGTCACACAAAGGCTATAGCGAAGAGTGGGTACCAATGTGGTTAGTAAACTAGGCAAGGGCTAAATCATAGAGGGCCATGAACATCAAGCATGGCCTAATAAGCCAGGGGAGTGACAGTGCATTTGAGATGTCTTTGACAACTGTTTAGAGAACACACTTGATAACAACAACAACAACAAAATTAGACTAGGGAACTTGTTACCAAGATGTCGTAATACTTCAGATGACAGTAGGAATCTGACCCAAGAGAGTGATAACAGGGAGAAAAAGGAAGAGCAGGAATGAAAATTAGGAGATATTGGTGACTGTCTCCATGTGAAAGAGCACAAGGGGCAGTCAAGAGTGATTACCTGTATTTCTAGCTTGGGTGATATGGTGATTAGTTGTGCCACCAAAAGATATGGAGAATAAAAGAGGAGAAATACATAAATAAAAGAGGAGGAATATTTGTGAGTTTTAGATATACTATTAGAGATACCTGTGGAAGGGACACAGTGGAAATGTCCAGTAGGCAAGTGGATCACCAAGTACGAAAGGGAAATTGTATATGTTATCAACACATATATCATATATGAAATCACGACAGTAAAAAGTTCAGAAAGAAATGGACAAAATATATAAATCTCTATTCTACAGAAGAGAAGGAACCTACGAAGGAAATGGGAAAATGGAAAAATGTTGAGGAGTGTAAGGAATTTTAGAGAGAAGTGACATAAAAATAAAGGATAAAGCTTTTAAAACAACAGTCACACAAATGTTTATAGCATTAAAATAAGTAGCTGCTTTCATCTTTCCAGGCTTCCATGTTAACTGGAAAAAGGTTTAAGGAGAGTCAAGGAAAAGTTTATTTGGTTTACTGAATTTATGACAAATTTATGATACAGAAATTTATAAACTGAGAATGAAGAGAAAGTAGAGAAAGCATTGAGAAGAGAGATGAGAGAGGAGGAGCTAGTTAGGTCCTTAACAGCAGCAGAAGATAGTCAAGAACCTAACAAAGGATGGTCTTCCACAGCATAGTGGCCATTTTTGTCCTATAACTGGAACAAAGTGAATGAGAATGATAACAGACACAGGTAAGTCAGAAGGCAGAAAGGAAGGTAGCAGATCTTGCTTGATGAACACAAGGCCACCTGCAGAAACAGAAGAGCAGCTAAGAATGAGGCTTGAAGAGAGTGGTCAATGTTGAGACTAGCTCATCAGGGGAATGGAAGTGGGAGCTGTCCTGAGATAAAAGACAGATTAGAGATATGGCAGGTCCAGTGGAGATTTTAGACCCTAAATTTGCAATGACACAAGTCGCCATATTTGTATGCTAAACCATCTTGGATGAACAGGGGACATAACTGGGAATTTGATGATCAAAGTGCAAGAGAGTCCAGTGTACTGGAAACAGTATCAGCTATAGCATCTCACCTTGGAAAAGAAGGAAGACTAGGAACTACCTGCTTGGAAGGAAATGGAATAGGGACAAGAAATAAATGCCGTGTAACAATATATTTATCATGTAACACTAAATATATAGACAAACTGGAAAGGAACACAGAAAAAAAACAGACACTAGTTGTGTAAAAAAGTTGGAATTAAATTTTTTCTTTAAAAATTATTTTATTTCTAAAAGTTTTTCACAAAAAAGAATGCAGGAAAAGTCAACTTTACTTTAAAAATGTCAGTCACAAAACAAAATTGAGAGATGATCAGAGACCATCTAAGTCAATGGTTCTCAACTGGTGTATATGTAAAGCTTTTTTAAAAAAAGAGATGTCCTACTGCAGACCTGCTGATTTAGAATACTACACATACCCACAATAGGATGGAAGCACAGAGATGGGAAGAAATCTGTGCAAAAACAGGTAAGATAACATGTTGAAAAACCAAGACTAGATAACCAGATGTGACTATTAATCCTATATTCTTTTGATTTTGGTTGTTTTATATACAGTCTTGTTCCCAATAAGTCACCCTATATCCTACGAGAAAATTATGCTTTTCTGACCTCTAATACCAGCTGTTGGCTACTTGACTTGATTTGGAAGTGAAATACGCAACATGCGAGCAGAATCCACACGTGGTTCTGCCAGTGCTCTTTTCCCTCAGGTACAAAGACATGTCCCAGGATAGGGGCTGATCCTTCAGCTTGGGTCCCAGAATGAAGGAGAAGCATAGAGTCCCAGCTGATATCTAGTCAATATGTAACATACAGAAAAATAACAAGTGAGAAATACATTCTTGTCATTGTAAGCCACCAGTATTTCAAGATTATTTGTTGACTAGCAAACCCTGAAAATAGAATGTAAAAGAAAAAAATAATTTTACTTGGAAACATTAAACCAAGAATGCTTTAGTGTGCTTAAGAAATAGTAGTTCAGAAATAACTGCAAAAGAAAAGAGCTTTCTTTTTTTTTTTTTAAGATTTTATTTATTTATTTGAGAGGGGGAGAGACTGAGCGGAGTGGGGGGAGGGGCAGAGGGAAAAGCAGACTCCCTGCAGAGCAGGGAGCCAAACGCAGGACTTGATCCCAGGACCCTGGGATCATGACCTGAGCTGAAGGCAGACACTTAACTGACTGAGCCACCCAGGTACCCAGAAAAAAATTTTTTCAACTAAAAATGAAAATTATAAAAAATATATTTTCAAAAACTAAAATGCATCCGGTTTCTATAATTATACTTTTAAACCTGAAAAAAGATAAATTAATTTCATTTTCTGTATATTTCTTCAATGTGATTATATATGAGGAGTACCTGTTAATCATTTAATTGGTAGTTATATTTTAAAAACTGCTATTCATAATTATCGAAAAGAATTTAAAAATTTAATAATTTCTTGATTTAAGAAAAAGAATCCTGCACCAGTAATAGACAAATAATTACCCAAATGATAAAATAAATTCAAATTAAAGTACCACAGTGATATCATTTTAACTTAGTAAGGTAGCAAAAGTTAAAAACAGACCTGATTAAAACTCAACACAGCAAAGCTTCAGGTTTTAACATATTTATTATTAAATGTTTTAATTGTTACTACTTTATAATTTTAGTAATAAAAAAGAATTTTGAAAAATTTACCATGACTCCTAATTATACCTTATATATTTGATCACCATCTTCTGGTTCTGGACTGGATGGCAAAGAGAGTTGAATATCGTGCAATGAACCACTTCCATCATGCTGTCAGAAGAGAAGGAAAACATGAAATTAATACAGTATCTGCAGACACTCATTTCAACCTGAATTCACCCCAACCAAATGCTAGCAATGGCAAAGAACAAACAGGAAATAAGATTCCAGAAATCTCCTTTTTATCCCTATGCACAGGTAGAAGAAAATGTGGAAGAGGGAAAAAGAGAGCTAGGGCAAGAATAATTTGTGGAAATAAATAAGATACTACATGAGTGGATGAAGCAAGAAGCAAAAAGCCACTGAAAGTTTTAGAGTGGGAAAAGGAATATGGAAAATTTCCTAGAAAATTTGAAGATTAACTCACCTACAAAAAATACAAAATGAAAGTCAAACTAAATCTGCTTTAGTTTAAATATAGTTTTTTGAGTATTTTTTCTTTTTAGTCAGAAACAATAACCCAACAAGGCGTGGTCACAAAAATCATTTAATTAAAAATACTAGATAGGGGCATACACATTCCATGACTCTATTTATACGAAGCCTGAGAGTAGGAAAAACTAATTTATTGTGCTAGAAATAAGAACAGGGATTGACTCAGGGGAAAGGGGCTATTGACTGGGAAAGAGCATTAGCAAATCTACTAGGATGCTGGAAATGTCTTGACTGTATGGTGGTTATGTGGGTAAGTATATACGAAAAGTTCGTTATACACTTACAATTGGTATACCTTAAGCACCTTAAACTCTCATCCTTAAATGCAATAACGAAAATGACAAGATAAGAATTAAGGCCTACCCCTTGCTGAACTGGTTAGGAATAACCAACTAAGAAATGGCATGTTAAATAATTCACAGACAACTTTGAGAAAGATGAACCAGTAAAGAATATGCCTGGGATGATGGTGAGGGACTGAGCCCCTGACCAAGAAGGCAGCACAAGTGTGGCTGGACACCTGGTTTGTTCAGATGGTACCTAGCTGCTTTGGGACACCCATTGAATCAACAACCTTCAAGAGTGCTATTATCATAATCCTCCTCAGACATATCTGTTCTGAGGAAGTCTAGGCCATAGAAATGTCCTGTATTAAAAGAAGAATGTTAAAGTAGAAGACATAGCATGTAGGTCATTTTCTTCTTTATATACTATACTATATACCCACTGAATCAGAATCTCTAGGTATGGGGTCTACAAATGTGTATTTAGTAAAGTTCAATAGGTAATATTGACTGACAGCAAAAAATAAGCATTTGTCAAATTTCTACAATAAATAAATTATATTTTTTGGAGATTAAGAATTTGACCTGAGAGTGAAGGCAATGTCCTAATGAATAACTAAATGTCTTTAGAATGTTAAATGTTTAAAATAAAAAAGAAAGAAATTTTACAAGATTCATCTCAGTAAAAGTTCATCTCTGCTGTAAATACCTTGACATATAAAAACAGTCCTACATATAACTATATATTTGAGAAAAGAGGAGCTGTAAAATCTCACTTATTTTCAAACATGTCAGTTATCATCTTCCTGCCCACTACAAAGCAGGAACCCCAAAGAATGGGACACAACACAAGTATACACCACTTTTGTCTTGCACATGTTCATAGCTGTGGAAAGTAAGTAGCAGAACAGGAAAAATAAAACATCAGCTTTCAGGGTGAAGGAACAAAAAGGGGATCCCCAGGTAAAGAGAAAATATCAGGGAGACCACGAAGTACCAGCTCAGGAAAGTGACTCCAGAAAGCTGTATGTAACTTTCTAGGTTCACCCCTCAGCAGCACTTTGGCTTCAATCTAAACAGTATATCAAAGACTTGGAGAAATAAACTAAGACCATTGCCCAGACCTAATCTAGCCTCTGAAAGATGTATACTAAGAACAGATCTGACAAGCACAGCAAAGGCTTTGAAATAGAACTGACATTACAAAAGGTAGCTGGCTAGTTGTAAATTATAGCCTGAATCCAACCAGAGTGTTTACCTGCTTTAAAATTAAAACAAAAACCAAAAACAAAAACCCCAAGAAATCCCACAGTATTCTCTGTTCATTTAAACAAAATTAAGTGTCTCATAACAAAACATGCAAAGATCTAAGATACAATCCAGAACTACTCAACCTACAAACAACAAGGAAAATCTCAACTCACACAGGAAAAGACAATCAACAAACACCAATGCCACAACAAGACAGAGGTTGGAATTAATTGAAAGAGATTTTAAAAGGGCTATTATAAAAATTCTCTAAAAGTAAAAGAGAACTCTTGAAGGGAATAGAAAGAGAAAGTCTCAGCAAAGAAACAGAATATATAAAGTGGAAACATATGCAAACTTTAAAACTGAAAAAATTCAATAGCCAAATTTTAAAATGCACTAGCAGGGCTGAATACCAGCATTTGAGATGACAGACTGAACTTGAAGACAGATCAACAGAAATCATGCAATCTGAGCCATGAAAAGAAAAAAGACTGGTGGAAACAAAAAACAAAAAACACAGCCTGCTGAGGGGGCTATGGGACAAAAACGAAAGATCTAAAACTCATACCATTAAAGTCACAGAAGGAAGGGTGGAGGGCAGAAAAAAAAATGTTTGAAGAAATAATGGATATATACACCTCAAATATGGTTAAAGACATAAATCTACATATTTGAGTATCTCAATTTAAAAGACTAGAACACATGAAGCATGCTCTCTGAATATAAGGGAATTTAATTAGAAATCTTCAAACTCTTGGAAAGTAAACAACAATCTTCTAAATCATCCGTAGGTCAAAAAAGAAACCTGAAGGCAAATAAGGAATTATTTTGATTTGAAGGAAAATGAAGATACCACATTATCAAAATTTGTGGAATTCAAATAAGGCAATGCTTAGAGGAAAAATTACTGTAGGAGATGCTTATATTAATACAAAGGTGTCAAATCCACAACTGGAGCAAAATAAACCCAGAACAAGCAGAAAGAAAAAAATAATAAAGAGCAGAAATTAATGAAATTGAAAATCAAGAAATAGAAAGAAAGCAATGAAACCAAAAACTGGTTATCTGATAATTGCAAAACTGCCAAAGAACAAAATAGAAGGCACAAATCAGACACATACCAGGACACAGAAAACATACATCAGGAATGAAAGCAGGGATATCACTACAGATGTCTCAGGCATTAAAAGTAAATAAGGCAATAATACTATGAGTGACTCTATGCACACAAATTTGACAGCTTACATGTAATGGAGAATTACTCAAAAACCAGACTATCAAAACTCACTCCAAATGAAACGGACAGCCTGAGGAATCTGTGATTATTAATAAATTTAATTCATAATTTAAACCTTCTGTAAAAGAAATATTGAAGGCCAGATGTTTTCCTAGCAAATTCTTCCAAAGTTTAAAGGAATAATATCAGTTCTATATAATCTCTTACCAAAAACATAAATCAAATTAAATTAGAAAATTAATCAAGTTAATGAGCCTTGGGGTGCCTGTATGGCTCAGCTGATTGAGCATCCAACTCTTGATTTCGGCTGGGGACATGATCTCAGGGTTATGAGACTGAGCCCTGCTTCAGGCTCTGTGCTGGGCATGGAGCCTGCTTAAGATTCTCCCTCTCCCTCTGCCTCTCCCCTATCCTGGTAAAAAAAAAGAAAAAAAAAATGAGGCTAGTACTTTCCTGATACCAAACAAAGACAGTGTAAGAAGACTTCTAGATCAGGGCACTGGGGTGGCTCAAGTCAGTTAAGCATCTGACTCCTGATTTCGGCTCAAAGTCATAATCTCAGGGTTGTGAGATGGAGCCCCATGTCAGGCTCATGCTGGGCGTGGGGCCTGCTTAAGATTCTCTCTTCCTCTCCCTCTGCCCCTCCCCACTCCTTTCTCCCTCTCTAAAGAAAAAAAAAAAGAAAGAAAGAAAGAAAAAAGAAGACTGATAGATCAATAACCTTCATGAAAAGTCCTAAGGACACAAAAGTCCTTAACAAAACATCTTTAAATCAAATTCAACAATATGTAAAAAGGAAAAAAAGATCGTACACAAGTGGAGTTGATCCTTGGAATGTAAAGCTTATTCAACAGTTAAAAAGCAATGTGATTCCACATATCAAGAGATATCTACATTATTACACCAACAGACACAGAAAACATTTCTGCCAAAATTCAACATCATTCATGACAAAGCCTCAGCAAACTAGGAATAGAAGAGAACTTGCTCAACCTGATAAAATCTTAAAAAACCTTGAAATTAATATCATATTAAGTGAAAGACTGAATGTTTTACCCCTAAAACCAGGAACCAGTGCAATAAAGCAAGAAAAATAGAAATAAAAAACACAAGTAGGAAAAGAAGAAATAAAACCATCTCCATTCAGTAATATAATTTTAGCCATAGCAATTCCCAAGTTATCTATAATACTACTACTAGAACTAATACATGAATTTAGGAAAGTCACAAAATACAAGGTCAATATACAAAAATCTACCATTTCTGTGGTAAAGAACTGAAAATTGAAATAAAAAAATTACTTCTATTTACATTAAACCAAAATCCAAGAAATAAAAAACAATCAAAACTAAAAAAAAAAAATCAAAATCAAAAATTCTAAAAAAAAAAAAAGACATATTTGGGTACAGATCTAACAAAACAGATAAACTATATTAAAAACAAAAAAAAATTGATGAAAGAAATCAGAGGTGACTTACATAAATTGAGAGGCATATTCTGTTAATGAATTTAAAGACTCAGTATTTTTGAAATGTCAATTCTCTTCCAAATTCAACTACAGATCAGTGCCCTCCCCCAATTCCCAGCAGAATTTTTTGCAGAAATAGAAAAGCTGCTTCTAAAATTTATACCATAAGGTAATAGAACTAAAACAGCCAAACACTTTTAAAAATAAAGCTGGGAGATACCATACTACTTCAAGGCTTAGTATAAAGCTATAGTAATCAAGAGAATGTGATATTGGCAAAAGGACAAACATTGATCAAAGAAACAAAAGAGTCCAGAAATAGACCCACATATATGTTCAAAGGCATTTTTGACCAAAGTGCCAAAGCAATTCAACA